AGGGAAATATTCCCCAACAAGTTGAGGGAAACAACTTGAATAGCCTGTTATATTTAAGTATGGGGCTAGTTTTCCTTGAGTTACCTCCTAAACATGGACCAGAACGAATCTTCCCTTGGTAATAGCCCTATTCAAGTGGGAGGGGCATTCAGAACCTTCGTGGTAAGAGTAAGGACTAGATGTGTTTGGGAAAAAATTAATTCCATAAAATTTGAACGAAGAAATCCGTTTTTTAAGCTACGTATTGCAAAATTTCGTATCAGAAACTAATGGAAAAAACTTATTGTGTGAACCAATTTTTTCAAGCATGGAGTACTTCAAGAAGGGTTGTTTAATAGAACTGTGTAGGTAATAACTTTATAAAAACACAAGAAAGACCTGTGTTCCTTACCGAGGCCTGAATAAGGACCCTATACGGCACTGCTCATTAAAACGTACCGATTTTGCTAGCCTTCTTAGCAGAATAGAATAAACTCTTGTTTGTCGGTAAACTATGTTTCATAATCAAATGGTATGATGTGTAATTAGGTAACCAGAGAGCTGGAAACGTCAACAAAGCAAGTAAACCAGTACTAAATAAGATAAATTTTCAAAAAAAAAATGATTTATTTTGTAATAAAATTAAAAAAATATGGAGTGATTTTTGAAACTGGTGGTACTCAAATCTTTCATCACGAAATTCTGACAAACTGAATTTTTGGAAGTGTTCGTTTGGTAAAACTTCTTTAAATCTGATGACCCAACCTTTTTTTTTAAACTTAATACTGAACACTGGATAGGTCAATCAGGTCACCAAATTAGCGGTTGAATGAGCTCCACCTGCAATGCTCAGCAAAGACTACTGGAGATGCTTAAATTATAGGATTTTTAAAGGCTTACTGGTTTTAAACTGGTTTGAATTGCAAGTGGAATGCCTTTAATGTTTTCATTCTTTTTTTATGAAGATTTATTAGGAGAAACGGAAATTCTACTTAACTTAGGATCCCACCCGTACTTTTCTCTAGATAGGTAAGATATCCGGAGTGATATTGCTCCTTCGAGGGGATGCGCCATGCATTCGACTCGCATTCGGAATTGCAAAAGTATTTCAATCTTCATTAGTCTCACACAATAGGGTCTGTACGGGTTACCAGTCAGCGCTTTTACTTGCCAACCTACTTGTAGTAGCTCTACCTTTTATCTGCGCTCTGCGTCAGCTCATTACTGGAAAAAAGATAATGGGAATGTCCTCTATTGTCGTGGTTGACGTCATCCATAGCAGCCACTTGTTCCTTGAAGCCAGTAATGGCGTAAATAGCTCGATCCATGTGCGCACCAATCGGATCACCATCCGCTTCCGGTTGTGGCTGACGCGGCTTCTTTACTTTGTATCGTCGTTGATTCAAGACGTCTACGACGGCGAGGACGGATTGAGACTGACCTAATACGGATGCCATCCTCGGAATGCTAACGAGAGCGGACATCAAACGCTTCGCGAGCCTTCAAATTGCATTCACCCACCGCGTCTTCATAGAGTGATGGAGAGACACACTCACAGCACTAGAGTAGATGTTGCTAAATGCGCTTCACATCGAAGGTTTGGGGGAAAAATTGAGGTGAAAAGGGGGAGGGGGCTGAAAAAATAACAAGAAGACAATCTATTAT